TTGAGTTGCTGAGGCTCGTTGGACACGCTTCTTCTTGACTGTATCACGCCATCTCTTGAGCGCCTTTGATGTTTGTTCGTCAAAGACCGACTTCTTCATGCCCGAACCCATCTGCATTAATTCATAAACATTCGTCGTACTACTGTTTTGAGTTGGAACGATGGATGAGGTGAAGTGAAGATACGTTTATACCTGAGTTACAAGGGCATATATCGGAAGCGTAACGTAGCTACATAAAAACAGAGCTGCAAACCTGCAAAACAATGCAGCATATGCAAACCTTGTGCTCGAAAAGCTCTATATAATCAAGCATTCATAATGTAAGATGGGAAGAAAGGCTTTCTTACCCTAAAACAACTTTCAAACTGGTAAGGAAGACGCCGTCGGAGAAACAAGATTTTGGCCCAAAAGAATGCTGCACACAACAACCATATCGTTGATTCTAGCTTGCTTACACATTGCATAAACTTGTAGATGAAAACTTTTGGTCAAAAGTAATGTATTTTTCCTTCAAAACCATGTAATAGTTTCTACCAAACTCTAGAAGTCATCAAACAGTAAGTTAACTGTCACCTTCATTATAGAACCAATAATGTTAAGTTTTTTATGAAACATTCCATCAACATTATAATAAACACATAGTTCATCATGAATCATGTGGGAACCGTAAGCGATCGATATAATGGTCGAGAAGAATAGAATACCATTGTAGACAAGATAAAGGTAGTCTGGAATGCACTCTGCATATACCAAAGTAAAATCAGATCAACACCAAAAACACAGTTTTCTCTACAACATCAACAACTTATACGTTATACCAAAGATTTCGATTACCTGAAATAGAGCAAAATGCATGAGATGAAGAATTAGTTGAGGTCGACCGAACCAAAAATATTTGTCGGATCCTTGCACGAGAGGAATTCCCTGGACCACTGCGTGTCTCTCAGAAATTTCAAGAGCCATCCTAGTCAAAATGGCTTGAAGTTTGGATCCAACAGCTAAGATGATCTGTGTGAGGTTCAAACAGCCATCATTTTATAACAACAAACTATCCAATCGGTTGAATTTCCCCTGAAGAAAGAGATTTTTCTTACAATCAGAGGCGTAAACGACGCCCAGAACAACGTTCGCCATCCTGAAAACAAAACGGTTTCCTTTCCAATCAAATTTATTGAACTATTTGTTGAGTCAGAATGGTTGGATTGAGCAAAATTATCTCACCAGCTACGTTAAGGAGCAGGAAGATCACAAATGACAACCACAGAACAGGACTGCCAACACAAAAGGTTGTAAAGACATCACACTTTGAATTGACCATAAGGAAACATAAGATCAACTTGTAAGTATTATTACCTCACTCCCACGACTACCTTGAAGTCGTCTTCTAATGATCTCTTAATGTATCTTCGGAAGTTAAATTTACTTCCTGGTCCTAAATGAACCTACAAGAGAGTATGTATCACTTCTTAAATTTTGCAGCTATCATCAGTTTGCAGTTTTGGAATCGAGAACTCACCGTTATAAATCCGTTGCGAAGTGTTAAGTAATCAGCCTTACTAACAGATCCATAAAATTGTCTGAAGAAGCAGGCCTGCAACATATAATCAAATCTAAGTTACTATTTTAAAATCACTCGTATCATTCTCAAACATTACTATTTTAGAGTGAAAGTGATTATTGGTCAATGCCAAAATCATCCCAGACATGTCTTAATTAATGTTTGAGGATGATAATGCACTAAATTTCAAGCTCTCAAATTTAGAAAAATGTGGATGAAAATATCAATAAATATAGATATTAACAGATACCGAAAAGGATTTTTGAGAAACTTGTCTTACAATATAGAAGAAGAAAGGAAGGCGTGTCCAGAAGCTGGTGTGTGCTTTTACAAAAGATGTTTCATGGGTAAGCCGAAATCTTGCAGGATCTGTACATTGAAATATAACCACTTTTCTGTATGTATAAAACTCTAAAAGTGTAAATTTCATGCAAAGAAACTGGACAGAAAGTGTGATTTGAATCCATGAAATAAAAGAACAACAGTTTGTTGAAAGCTAAAACTAACAGACCATTGAAAAACTCATAGTTATGGGTTGAAGTTTCCTGCTCCCACTCCTTCCAGCCTCGAGCCTGGTCAGAAACCATTTCGTTCATGAACAAAGTGATAATGTAGGTACAAACTTCACGAGACAATCACCAAAAAATCTAATTATATGAATGTTGGGTTTGTAAGAAGTGCAAACAAAGTCCCACATTGACTTCGAAATGAAGTGATCCATGGTATATAAGAGGACAATTATCTCTATTGGTATTAGACCTTTTAGGTGAAACCAAAAGCATCAAACAATATCATATTATTGGGTAGCTCACAAGACATGGTATATAAGAATCAAATTATCAAAATTCAAGTGAGCTATCCATTCCCCAAACATAATGAAAAGCTTTTAAGCAAAAGGCCTACTTAGACAGTAAGAATGATAAATTGCAGCAAAAGAGAATTATATCATCAACAATAAGAACTGTAAGCACTTGTTTTTGTCCAAATATTTCATGCATTCTCAACACTTGAGCTAATGGAAAGAATTGATTCAAGAAAAAGAAACAGCCCTTACCTTTATCCTCCCAAGTGTCATTGTGGTAACACAAAAGAGCACATGAAACACCGCTAAGAAGAATATGAGAATGTGTAACTGATGCAATCCATCAACAGATATAAGAGACACTTTACCCTGCTTGGAAGAATCAGCCTTGTTAGAACCTTCACTGTTTAGCAATAATCAAAACAAAACCAACACACAGAGAAAGTTAGAACGTAAAATTTTGTCCATCCAAGCTCTTACATCCTTGCACGAGACGACGTCATGGCCTCCGGCCAACGATCTGCGGTTTAGCCGTTGAAGTCGTCGGTGATGCTCCTCTTCGCCGGCTAAAGATGATGGGGCATCTTTCTCTTCAAGGGGACAAGGCAACATAGTGTTTGCAACGGCCGGAGGAATGCAGATTTGGACTATATACTTTTGTGCAAAAGTCAGAAGCAGAGAAATGAAACCCAAAATCATCAACTCTGCAAAAATTTTGTGGAATGCCAATTTTATTTTCTTCTCATACTCAAAGAGTTCTTATACAATGTTTTATGTATTACATTACCAGCCTTAACCTTCTCCAGAGCTTCATACAGAGCACTCTTATGCTTATCTGCCAACCACTGAGGGGACAATAACAAATCAATCAGCACTCACAATATACAGACAACGCCCACAATCTCAGACCCAGTAGAATGAATGTGCGAGAAGGGATTTGAAGTGATTACCGTTCCAAGTTTGTGAAGAACTTTCTCCAAGACAATGGAAATAACAATGAAAAAGAAACTAACACCAGCAACTGCCCATGTGGGTGTGCTGTCGAGCTCCCTGGAGTCGCCGACGCCCGAGGCGGCGACAAGGGCTGCGCCACCAAACAGAAGACAGAGGAAGAGACAAAAAACAGACATTTTTTGAAGTGGTGGGAAGAAGAAGAAGAAGAAGCAAAGGGCGGAAATGGGGAATTAATTTGGTAAAGTTAAGAAGCACAGCCGGGGCGACATTATTGGAGAGAGTGGAAAATGGCATTGGATGTGGATCCCATCTTCATGACCTTGGCTTGGTTTGTAGTTAATGAGAACGAGAGCGTTTAACATTTTACAGAAAAGAATGTACGTTAAGTCTGAAAAATGGGTAACATCTCAATCTTATCTTAATGTACATAAAAGTCTAAATTTTGGTCTATGTTATCAGCCACAGCCTTCAGCCTTCAGCCGATCCAGTTAAAACTTAAAACTGAAGTGGCTTCTTTCTTCTCTGCAAACTGCAACCAATTACACTGCCAAATTGCAGGTCTTTTTGTGTCTTTGGGCACACCAAAACGAGAGAGGGGTTTGGTTATGTAATAAATAAATTGGGTGACTTTTTGATGCTCAAGCTCAACGTGGGGGTCAAGATTAAATAAGGACAAATTTTGTAAGACACTCATCTGCTTAAATTATGTCAATTTCCACACGGTTCCATTTCAAAATTTCAAAGAAATAATTTTTTTCTCTCAGATTTGGTGCAGGTGTTAATTTGGTCTCTAGAGTTTCAAATGACCACAGGGTTGAATAGTTCAACACATAGATTACACACCATTTTCTTTCTTTGTTTATTTCTTTATTTTTTGTTTTTGTTTTATTTTTTACTTTATTTAAAAAAAATGTTCCTTTTTCACTTACAACATTGTGTTTAAATTAGTTTTTTTACAACAAATAATAATATTCTCTTTTTCTTAAAAAAATTATTCTTTTCCTTTATACCTTTCTAAATAACAGTTGTTTAAAATATATATTTAATTTTCAATAAGAAATAAAAAAATGTTAGTTCTTTATAAACTTATTCATATTATATAATATATATAATATATATATATATAATATATATATATATATATATATATTTAATTTACAGTTATCATATTAAAACTACAAAAAGAATCAATTTTAAAATTTAGCTACATTCAAATTATAAAAAGTAAATGGTATTTTATTTTTAATTTATAAAATTAAATAATATTTAATTTTAAAAAATCTTATAAAATCTTATTCTCTTTCGTTTATACCTATCTAAATTGACGTCTAAATAACAATTGTTCAAAATATATATTTAATTTTCCATGAGAGATTTCAAGATTTAATTTTCAATAACAGATTTCAAGATAAAAATATTAGCTTTTCATGAACTTATTCATATTAAAATCAAAAAATATATATTTAATTTACCGTTATCATATTCAAATTACAAAAAATAATCAATTTTAAGATGAGATATATTCAAATTATAAAAAATAAATGATATTTTATTTTGAACTTATGAAATATGATATTTAATTTTAAATTATTCACGTTAAAAAAATTATTTGATTTTTAACAATATGCAAAGTAACAAAACTATCAGATTTGGAGACAACTAATATTTAAATAAAAGCTTACAGTATACTTTACATTTTCAAAATTTCAAAGTAAATAAGTAAAATTAAGTAGATTTCCAAGTTTGATCGAACAAAAAAAGTTAAAAAATCAACTCTACAAACATGCTTTAAAAAATGATGAAATTTACTTCTGACATAATTATGTAAACTACTTTCTATGTTCCAATGACTCTTAAGACTATGATATCAATGCTAAATTTTGCTCCAAATTATTGTGAACAATTTGATTGAGTTTAAAATTTAATTTGTGTTGGGATCTATGAATAAAAAATAAAGAAAATTATGGTTATAAAATATATAAATTAAGAAATACAAAATTCAAAATGAATGGATTAATTGCATCGTACAATATTGTCTACAAATTTAATTGGATTAAATACAAGGTTGAACATTTTGCTAAATAACAAAGGAAAAAAACAGCTAAAAAAAAGTAACTCAGGTTAACCAATCCTACACCACAAACACATGCTATCCAAACATAGGTTACACAACACCCGAACATCAAACCCAAGACTTAGTAACCCTAAGCTACTAATGCCATACCATGGCCAACTTTTATGTATTGTTTCTTTTTGGTTCTTCAATTACAAAACATTTATTTTAAACTTTGACTTTTTAAGAAATAGTCATAAGCCTAGCTCATAGTTCAAAAAAATTTATTCCTTTGAGGTCAGTAGTTCAAATTCTCACCTCCTATATTTGTTCTAAATTTTAGAATTAATTATTTTAGTGGAGGACTCTCAAAATGCCTATCTTAATTTCTAAACTTTAACAAAAATATCTATTTTGATCCTTGCTATTATTTTGTCAACTCAATAATTGTCTCGACTAACTTGTTTGGTGCTCAAATTAGGATATTAATACACATACTTCAGCCATGACCCAACCCAGACCCCCTTTTTTGCTGTCTTCAAACTAGGCGACACCAGCATTCGTCTCCTAAGCGCACCACCTACTTTCTATGAATCTGAAACGATTTCCTTAAAATCGCCCCCTAATATCCACGACATATTTGAAATACTGTGAAGTCTTTCTACAAGAGTCTAAGTTTTTGTCATTCTCTCTTGAATCAGGTGATCGTAAATTCCTGTAAATCTCCACCCATCATTCATTTCATTGATGACTGAATCAATATGCCCATATAAAAAGTACCTTATACTACACTTCATTGTTCTATAGGAGCATCAAACCACCACTATTATCACTATTCGTAACACATAAGCAACCATCAAAATTTAATTCTCTCTTTATTTTCTCTTCCACCCGATTCTTGCATTGGTTTCCATAAGGAAGACAAACATGGGTTTGCGACTACATACAAGATGGTGTAGAGCTTTGATGTACACCATCTCTTAGTGTTCGGGAATTCTCCAAATCCCAACATTCCAACTTAAGATTTTATTGTGATCGGCGTGGGTGTCCGAGCATCCATCAATATATACGAGCTTTGCTCACACATAATTTCTATTCGGTTTAACCTCTACTGTCAGATTGTGCTTGCTTCTTGATGTAGAGTTCAAATTGTTGTTCCTTAAGATCTCTGTTGCTTGTTTTCCTTGTTCGGTCAATGACTTTTCAAGTGTTATTTTCTTAAAGTCTAAAATAAATATAATGTCAACAAAAACATATAGCTTACCAGTCAACATCACTTTTTTCTTTTCTTTTCTTTCTTTCCTTTTTTGGTTGGCATATTTGGATTTTGACATCCACATAATATAATATCCAATCAAATTTGCGTCCATTGTTTAGGAGAGATAAAACAGTCTATCACTTCCTCTGGGCTTCTTTTGGACATTTGATTGGAGTTTCAAATTATAATCATTTATATTTGTTTTTCCATTTTAATATTTAAAACCCATTGCAGGAGCGATAATTATTCTTTTAGGTTGCTGTAATATTGTTTAATATTAAAAGTTAAAACTAATCTCTTTTTTCTTTTCTTTTTTGAAAATGAGCAACCACCTATTATTATTTAGAAGGCTTATTATTTAGTGCATGAATATAACTTAATTAATCATTCTGCGAGGTTATAGATTTGAATCTTCACGCCACCCATTATTATTGTTTAGAAAGTAGGTTTCGGTGTCATTTGTACTAGAAAGAAAAAGATAGTGCCTCTCGATGCAATACTTGGGAAAAGTTGGTCGGACCGAAGTCGGTGAATCGGATCGACCGCCGAGTGATCAAAGAGAGGTTGTGCTAGCTAGGAGGAGCCGAGACCCGATAAGTTGTGAGTAGGGGGAAGACGAGACCTTGTTGTTTGGACGACCGGGAGAGTTGATAGTCTTCACAAGATCTTGGCTTTGGACGTTGAGACGAAAGTGACCTGCCAAGAGAGAAGGTGAGTAGATGTCGGCGTGATACCTACCTACCACAAAAAGGGAGGCGGTCAAAGTCAACTCCCGCACTATATTCCGCTCTATAATGGGACCAATGGAGGCAAAAAAGGGTAAGTAGGTTTCATGACTAAAATCCGCACTATAATGAGGCCCTAAAGCGGTACCATATTGGTGGTGGCCAAATATGATTCTCAAAGATGGATTGGCGACTCAATGGGCCGCACAAAAATCAGGCCCACACCCTTGTGGTGGTGGGCCGCAGAAGACCTGCCCAGCCTTTCAGGGCTTAATGCCGAACAATAATTTGCTGGGCCCAACTTCCTTCATTTTTCTGGGTTGTAGTCCGCCCGATTTGACCCTAACAGTGCCTAATATTTTTGTTACTGAGATTACCTACATATATTAGGAACGTGTTTAAAACATAATAAAATGCAATGGTATAGATTGGGGAAGTTTTTTTTATAGCCCAAAATGGTGAGTGGTCTCTACAGCTCACGTCTACAGAGAGGCAAATAGTGTGGCACATGGTCTGGGCGAAGAACACGATGGAAAATCATTTCTTGGACTTTTCCTACTCTTAACTGGCTTGAAACACTAGTTGAAAATGAATTTGTGTTGGTTTAACTTGTTTTATAATGATGATTTAAAATGTTTTACCTCTTTTTTTTTATATATAAAAAGCCCATTAATATTGATATCCTACTAAAACATCATATCTTCATCTTTCCAATATCCTAACAAAACTTAAACTTATAGATTTGGGTCCACTTGAGCAAAACTTAATTGATCTAAGAGATACGTTGTAGATAAAAAAGTTTTGAGTTCGAATTCTCACCTCATATATTGTTGTATGGTTGTACTCGATCGTACTCAAGAAAAAAGAAACTCATGGACTTGGGATAGTAAGTAAAATATGGCCATTTCAAGAGTTGAAAATTTGACAATTATATTAAAAAAAACAATTATAAGTTTAAGATATTAATAAAATGAAATGAAAAGGGGAATTTAAAAGAGAAAAAGAAAGGAATATGAATGTTAAAAAAGAAAAAAGAGGATGTGAATGATCTGAATCTTAGATGTGTGGGTGATTGGTGAGTCACGTGTTAGTCAGGGGCCCAACAGCCCACACCCACCAACACTGAACGAATTTTCTTTTTAAGGAGGAACTTTCAACTCTCTGGCCCCAACCGTTCTTTTCATATTCTCCAATTTAAAGTTATCTTTTTGGTTTTTGTCGGGTTTGTAAATTATGTCAACAAAGTCTCATATTGGTTAGAAAATAGAACAATCTAAGATAGATATATATATAGA